AAAAATAACCTTGTAAAGAGTTAAGGGATGTATTTTTAGCCCAGATCATTTCAGTGATCTAGTTTACAGCACAGCCCCACAAACTCACACTGGTGCAAGGGAGGGGGGAAGGGGCAGAAGGAAAGGTCAAGGGAGAATGATCAGTTGGAAACATAAGCTGTCTTTCTGCCAAAACCAGGTCCTTATGAAACTGCACCCTGAAAGCACTGACCCTCTCCAGTTTTCATCTAGCATATTGACAACTGCCTTCTTGTGGCACAGTGTTGAGAGCTGAGTGCTGAGATCACTATTTCTGGATCCTGTTTGTGTAGCTAGCCCTGAGCCTCAAATGCCTTATTATGTCTGCCTCTGACACACTATATTTGTCATTATTTTTTCCATATATGCTTGTGCTGAGGTAGATTATATGTGCAGCAACAAAAAAAATCAAACCATGACGGTCATGGGGGACCTTTGCAGAGCTTGTGAGAGTGCAGGGTGCACGAAGGTGTAGGCACGATAGACTAGTGTGAGAAGGAGCTGCAGGGAATCGTTCCTGCAAAGCTCTTTAGAAGCAAGGAAGGAATGTGGAGGTCAGGGACTGTCCTCAAAACCATGTATAGAGGCAACTACATGAGAATAGGGGTGGAAAGTGCACAGGACCATTACAAAAAATTGTGTAACCGTCACTCGTTTCATAGCTGCTGAATATGCCAGCCTTGCAAGGTGCTGTGGAGGGCTTGCATCTCAGATAAAAGGTGCTCCATCTGGACAAAATATCCTACCTGCAAAAGCAGACAAGTCAGAGGATTCATAGGGGAGGGAAGGAGAGTAAGGCAGCACAAATTTCTGATGTTATTCAGCTGGTATTTAAGTGCTCCACTTTATGGCAGTTAATAGACCTTTAGCCTTTTTTCATTAGCCAAACTAGATGCACAAATCCAAACCTGAACTTCTCCTTCAGTATCTGCTTCTGAGCCACACTGGTACCCTTTCAGACCAGCATTTCCAGTACCACATTATGCACAGTGACAAAACTAGTGGGATACCGATTCTGTGAGGTAAAGCTTTCAATTGCAAGGAGGTGGATCATGACAAAAACTGCTAGCTGAGGGCTATTGAAGCTAGTTTGGCACCAGTCCCATCAGGACATTGAAATTCATCCCCAAAGCCACCTCTGGCTTTCCAGTTTTCCCCAGGAGTCTTTGTAATTTTGATTTCATAAGAGTGTCACTGCAGGCACCTCCCACCTGTAGCTTAAATCTGTGATCTTTAAGGAAAGCTCTTTGTAAGTACCCAAACGTAATGCACAGAGAAACTCTTCAATCTCTTTACCTCTTTTCTGTGGGCCTTCAGTGTGCACATTCTCTCACCTGGTGCCCATGGTGGGTCTACAGGCTCTAGCGGGAGAATTGGCAAATGTCATTAAGCCAGGTAATGACCACTGCTGTCCTGAGGGGCCCCCTCTGTGAGACATTACTACTGCCACATCAGGCAGCCTTACTAGCCCTCGCATTTTCTGGCACATTAAATCACCAGTGAAGTTGGGATTGTTCTTCCTCAATGCTGCCAGAAGGACTGAGTTCAGTTTTAAAAGCAGATGAAGAAAGATGGAGTTGAAAACTATTTTCAAATTTACAAATTTGTTTGGAAGAGGAAAATGAAACCCCTTACACGGAACTTGCTAGTTACACTTCCTCTTTTGCAGACAATGCCATGCTTACATTGATGGTACAATTCAATTTCTGTTTTGCTGCTCTATCTGACATTTTTCAGAATATGCAATGCTTAGACACTTATTTTTATGGAACAGTAAAAGACCGCAGAGTAGCAGTCACCAAATTACTGATGGAGTCAGTCTTTTACCTTAGCTTGCTGGTTTTAGCCCAAGCAGGCTGATAACACTTCTCTTCTGAAAAGGAAAAGAATCAGCAGTTGGCTGTAAACAGCACAAATTTAACATCTGAGTAATTTTACTTTTTTTTTTTTTTTTTTTTTTTTACAAAAAAGAGAAGAGCTGCTCATCTTCATCATTCATAAAAGTGGTGGGCTATGTCACTGATACAGGATAAATGACTGTGAATGGAAGAGATTGCACTAGTATCACGAGGCAGGGGAGAGCCAGCACTGAGCTCTTGGGTGAGAGAAGCAGACGTGTGTCTTAGTCGTGGAAGAGGCTGAGGGATAGTACATGCTCTGAGGTGAGAGTGAGCAAGTTTTCAATCCTGTCCGATTTGCAGACCAGGCCCCCTGAATGCTTCTCTCCGGACGGAGTTTCAGTCCACTGATGCCTCTTGCTTGCTTCTCTCCGTTACTTTTTCCAGACAAGTCCTTTGGGCTACATGTTCCCAGGATCCATGTCCTGAAGGTGGAAACCGTAGGTCTCTGGACAGTGCTTCCAACTCATCCACCAACACTAGCCCACTCCCTCTCTTGTGGGAGGGAGACTGCCAGTCTGGCCCCTGGAAGTCAGGGTGCCAGTGTTCTTGAAGAGCAGGGAAGGGAACTTTTCGCATCCAGGTGCCCTGATACAGCACTTTACCTTGACTAGAAGACATAGAGCCTGGCACACCAGCTGGGAAAAATAATTTAAAAGCAGCTGTAGAAAAAGCTGGATAAAGGATGGCAGTGTAATTGCCAGAAAGGACTTTTCTTGTTGCAAAACCCGTAGCGTAATCGGAGAGTCTGCAGCTGGCAGTTTCCAGACAACACAGCCCGTGGGCTACTTGTACTAATCTTAGAATGGCATGTTCACTCCTTCCTGCACCCCGGCCGGCGAGCTTCACACCGTCAAGACCCACATTGCAATCAATGCCTGCTACCAGCAAAACAAGAAATGCATGGAATCATTCCAGCTTCACAGCTTTGATCAAATCCAAAGAAAGGGAGCTGTGTTTTCAGGCTGTAACTCAAAAAAAAAAAAAAAAAAGAAAAAACCCCATAACCACCCCAAAACAAGAGGTTGAAGAGGCCAAGAGGAAATGCAGTGTCATTTCTCTGTAAAGGCGAAGGGCTGTGAAAGAAGCTCTTGGAGAAAAAGGGACTGTGATGGAGGCAATCCTTCCACCACAGAGTGCCTGCAGCTCCTCAACCTCAACTAAGTCCTCAGTTCAGGTGTCTGTTCTGCCATGCCCAGGTATCCTGGGAGCTGATATGCTGAGCCAGGCCTCCCAATCCATCCTGCCTTCTCCAGCTTCATTCTTTGCTCTCTCCTCTTTCTCGCCTGCCCTCCCTTCATGGCAGGGAACCAGCCTGCAGCTGGGAACCACTCTCCCTCCCCACTTAACCCAGCCATCATTTTTCGTGTGCTCCAGGTTGCCCTGCTGATCTGCTTACCCAGCTGTTTCTTCTGTTCCCCTTATCTGCCACTTCCCCTGCCTGTAATTACTCTAATGAAGGCTGAAAAGATGAGAGAAAGGTGCTAGAAGTTCACTAAGAGGAGACAGATTGATAGGGCTTTTGTGGCTGGATGCAGGAAAGCTGGTCCAAAGCCTATGGGAAGTTTAATGGGGGAGATGTAGTCAGGATCCTGAAAACAAGGAATGTCAGACATCTACAGGGGCTTGTGGACCTGGAAGAAAGAAGGTAGTGTTTATTTGGAGCGCTTATTTACAGCTCTCTGAGGAAGGGAAAGGCCTTTTTCCACAATGCAAACAGGCCTTAGCCATGCTGCTCTCTATCAGGTATTTCAGACTAGAGAATGCTCCAAGATGTGGATGATGAGATGATCCTTAGTGTAACCTCCTCGATTTGCTTTTAATCTAGAAACTAGGAGTCTAAAGAAATTACTTCTTTAATATGATTTCAAGTTTCCATAGCTATTTCTCCAGCCCCTGTAGCATGGTGACCCCAAGGGAATGGTCCTTATGTGGGCCAGATTGGTGTTTTGAGGGCCTTTCACCTCCAGCAATGCTGAAGGAGTGGTTGTGTCAAGAAGACAGCAGGTCCCCCCCAGGCAGAGCAGCGTAAAGGGAGAAGGAAGGGCTGTGCTGGAGCCTTTAGAGAAATAGAAATGTATTCCTCGAGCAGTGGTCTTTGGTGAAACTTTCTGAGACGCAGAAGAGTATTATTGATGCAGAGGGGTGAGAAGTGTGCTGGTCATGTGTTCATGGTAGCAGTGCAGGGAGTGAAGGTATGAGGTTCCTTGCTGATGGTTCGTAGCCTGGCTTGTTGTTTTGAGGTCTCTGCCTCTAACAAAACAAGGATTGTTGGTTAGTTGTTCTCAGTTCCTCTGGTTTGGTTTTCCCTGGCATCAGATACTAAAGATGAAGAACAAAGGTTTCCTTTCATCAGCTTTGATTTCAAGGCTTTCCACTCATATTGCTTGATACACACATAGCAAAGAAAACAAGGTAAATGTGGGATGACACCAGGGCTGCGTGCTGTGGGAAGAGCCACGCCATCCAGTCTCCAACAAGCCTCCTGTTTCTCAGCCTGTTGTCGACCCAGGGGAGAGGAAGCTTCTCTCAGCCCTGGTATTTCCTCTCTCCCCCACACCCGCCTGAGTATTTCACTGCCAAAAAAGCAGAACAGCACAGGGACATCCCCAAGCACATGCTGGCTTGCTGTGAGGGCAGAGAATGGCTTCTTGCAGCAGAACCACTGGAAAAGGAAGGGCGCCGGTGACAGGGCAGTGAAGGAGGAATGGGAGGGCTGAGAAGGTGTATGGGAACATCCTTTACTGCCCCACTCCATCTGCTCACTGTGAGGAAAAGATGGGGAACAGACACTTGGCTTGAAATACTTCATTTGCTTCCTGTGAAAAATACTGAGTGTAGGCTCATCAGCTAGAACTGAAAGGCTCTGCATGAATTACTGGTTCTCTGGGATATTTGAAAATGCTGCTGGGTCCTGTCTTCCCAAACCTCTTGCTCTCAGACTGGATGATTGATGCCAGATGTGAGAAGCTCTGCTTAAAGTCCCTGCTTACTCTTGAACTTTATAACACATACGCAGGCTTCTCTCTAGCCTGCTTGCTTTTCCCAGCCTTTGCTCATAACTTGTTGTTCCGGATTTGTCAGAACAGGCCAGCAGAGACCAACTCAGAGGTGGACAAGTCAGCATCACCCTCAGTGGCTCAGCTAGCAGGGAAGTTCAAGGAGAAAGCAGCCAATGTCCCTGGAAAAGAGGTAAGGAGCTCTGCAGCCACCAGCTGGTAATCAAGTGGGAAATGAGACGCTCATCTCTACCTGTAGAAGTTAGAGCATCAGTGATCTGAGCATCAATCCACCTTGATTTTGAATCTTCACAAAGGATTTGTCTCCTAGTGCAATGCAAGCTATGACAGTATCTTCTGTGTGTTGCCGACTTGTGGACGAGTATTTTGGTAGAGCCATACCTCAGGACAGCTAGACACTGTAACTGAGACACTGCAAAGCTTGGTAGGGTACACATATATATCCAACAGGAGCAGGCAGCAATGCATGTATTATCTGGGCTGGCTTTTGTGGGCAGAGGGCAACAATGAATAATGAAATAGCTGATATTGAGCCATGGAAAAAGAAAGCAAACAACAGATTACACGGTGTAGAAGCCAGTGGCAGGTCACCAGCACCTTGTTCACAAAAGCAGAAGGTTTCCTCCAGGTAATTCTTTCTGTATGTGTCTGAGAGAGAAAGCTGTCTCTTTCCTTGCCCTCGTTACCTCTTCCCAATGACATTTCAGGCTCTGTGCCTAAACTTTATCATGATGAAACTTAGTTTTATTGAAAGCCCACTATGCCAAGCATTACCTCACAAGCTGTCTTTCACAAGATAAGCAAAACACTAGAATACCTCTTTTAGGAAGAAAGGAAAATCATAGTGTTTATGGATGGAGGTTGACATTTTAGGAGAGCCCCTTGTATCATGCATAGATGTTTACTGGTGAGCCTCTTCAGTGAGTGCCCCTTTAAAACTGAATTGCTTCCTTCTGCTGCTCATCTTATTTCAGCGTGTCCCAGGCTGGGCCTAAGGGGATCCTCCCTGTATTTGGCTGGATGCAGTGGTGACCTCTGTCCTGGCAGGGCTGGCATGCCACCCTCTATCAGAGGTTCGCACTCCCATAGCCGGGCCCGGGGATGGGAATAGCCAATCTCTTCCCAAGCACTCTTTTTTTTCTCTCAAGTCACCAGCGCGCCACTCCATCTGTCCCATTACCCTCATTTCCTCTTTTTAAGGTATGGGATTTAACTGCACTAAGTCCCTCACCCTTCAGCAGGCAGCAAGTTCCCAGACCTCTCTTGTGTTATCTGCAGACCTCTGCTGCTCCCAAGCCAAGGCAGTGTGGAGGGGCCTCACAGTGGGGGGAAACACATTTTCTCCAGAGACAGAGGAGGACAAAGTTTCCTGTCTTTTCTCTCCACACCATCTGTCACTTCCCCACCAGCTTTCTCAAGCTGGCTTCAGATTAATGGCTGAGTGGATAGTCTTTAACCCTTGCTTGACCCATGCCAGCAAAGTGGAACCTATCAACCAGGGAACCTCAGGTACAATCACTGTGGCACAGCGCAGCATTTCATGGTTGCAAAATGGTGGGATTTCAATAAGACATGATATTATTGCTTTCTAGTGTGATATAAAGATAAGGGCAGAGCTGCCCTTGGCTGCTTAGAGACGCAGCATTGCCACGGCTGGGTACAGCACCACCAGAAGTTAAGTGACATCAAGTCTACAGGTTCTCCAAGACAGCCAACTCTACAGAGGGCAAAGATGCCATAATCCAACTTTTCATGTGCCTGCCTGTTAGAAGGTAACAAAATTATCCAAATATTATATTGTGGATCTTATCCAATAGCCACAATATTATGCAAGTATTTTGTCTGTTAACCCGTAAGAAGTGTGTTAACAGCTTGGCAGGACACTACAAGCCTGGCATAAAAACAGTGACAGCTTGGCTTCAAGACCAGAGCAATGTCTATGAAGGTGCTGTGCTATGCATCTCTTCATTCCTAGTGAGCACTCTCATACTTCTGAGAGCCCTGGGACATTCAGAAGGAACCAGTGTCTGTGCTGTTAAATTGCCTTGTTGCTTCTCCCCTGGAGAATCTGTTTTCAGTCAAACTAAAGGTTACAGCTGAGGACTTTTCTTCATTAGAGGGAACCAAATGGGGCTGTAAGGCATGTTGAAAAAGTCAGAATTCCCCTTTTTGCACCTAAAATATATCAGATGCAAAATGGGAAAATCATGAACCAGGTAGGCAGCTGAGACTCATTAAAAGGAAATCCTGGTAATAAGACAGGAAAGAGAACAATAACGAGCTTTTCCAGTGTGAGGGGGTTTTTAGCAGAATGCTTTGAAGATTAAGCTTCTGGGAAGGTTTCTCCACCCTACACAGCTTAGAAGAGTGTCCTTTGCACAAAGCCTGAAGTGTCATGGTTTGTGCTGTGGAAAGAGATATAGACCACTTTTCCAGCACTAGGACTGGGCTCAAGATGCTACATGCACACCTAGCATGCTGGCCACATGCCCATATGCTAATATCTTGTGCTGCCTTTGGATGACTCCTTTAGGCAAGCAGAGCCCTGCCATCCAAGCAGGTCACTTACAGAGCATGCCCTTTGGTGCCTGAATTTCACTTCCTTTTTTAAAACACCTGATTTTCCTGCTGCTCAGTTGGTTGTTCTCTTCTCTTAGGTACCACCACATAAGCCAACTCGGAGGAAACCACCATGCTCCCTTCCATTGTATTCCCACAAAACTGAGTCAAGTGACAATGATGAGCAAGTGAGTATGAATTTAATAGGGGGACAAGGTCTCTCCTCTCTTCAACTTGTTCTCTCCTGAGACATGAGCCTGGAGGTAGCAGAGGGGTCAGGCTATGCAGCAAAAGACATCAGTTATGCAGCATCAAACCTTCCCCTGCTCACACACACGTACTGACTCAGAGTCAGCTCCACGCTGTTTCCCGCTCCTGTAGCATGGATGCACATCCCATTTCTACTGCTTTTGTTTTTACCATTAGAGGACTGATTGATCCACCCAGTTATCACCTTTCATTTTAAAGCAGGAACTGCTGGCATTTATTAGATTTGAACAGCGCTTAGCATAGGGAGCATCCATGCTCTTTGTTGCCTTCAGATGAACTCTAGTGTTTTGTGTATGATCGTGTAATAGTTCTGCTCCTGAGATTTCTCCTTCTTCAGAAAAAGGGAATAATTAATCCAGAGTGAAGAGGGGTTTGGTCAGCAATACCCATAGAATATTGTCTTGAGGTGCCCTCCATACAGCACCCTTGAATGAGCAGGTCCCAGTAAATTGGCTGCTACTCACTAAAGTTTATGCTCAGACTCCTTCCAGTCATTTCCATCCTTCTGTATTTCAGGGTTTGTGGTCTACCCACCAAATTTCACGTTGTCACCTGCCCTTAACAGGGGGGTGGTTCTTCATCCTTCTTTTCTGACAGCTACAGGCTCTTGCTGCCTCCATGCCAAACGAGCACAAGCTTTAAAATCTTAGATTTCTTCCTTTTCCTTTGGAACTGAAAAAAGCAATATGCCCCTTCTCAAAGCAATGCTCTTCCTTTCTCAAACTGTTTTCAGCCTTTCATAGCTCTACCTTTCCAGCCACTTAGGCCTTTCCTGCCCATACTAACTGGGTACCCTTTAACTCTGTTAGTCAAGTGGTGGCAGGAAGTCTTTTCTGTCACATAAAGTTCACAATGTTTACCAACTTTAAGGCTTGTACCCTTTAAGAGGTAGAATTTTAATCTGTCTGGTCCTGAAATAATACTGGGGGAAACTGTGTTATAGGTTAGATACCTTAGTGAAGGCCATGTAGCTGCAGAACCATTACACATCATCTAACTCAGATACTTCACCAGAAAGCAGACAGTCACCTTTACTCCCAGAGGAAGGATACATGTATGTAGAGCCCTAGGATGGCTAGATAACAAAAGGGGAGTGGTGGCAGGAAAGAAGAAAGCAAACTTTTGTGTGAAGACGTTATATGAAGCTTCCTTTGCTCCCCTACTAGCACTTTCTGCTTCTCTCTTCTAAGTTTTCTGCCGTCGCTGTATTTCCTCTTTTTCACCTACTTTACAGTGACTTTTTCATGTTTCATTTTGTTTTGCAGAAGCGATCTCCAAATGCTTGTCCCATCCCCAAGGTCAAGGTGAAAAGCTCCCCCATGATCGAAAAGCTGCAGGTAGGTCCTGGAAGAGCCCACATGGCTGCTCCGCCAAATTAAAACTGATTGGCATTTGCCATAGCTTCCCTTGCAGAGCAGCCACAGAGGAAGGGGATCCAGAAGCCAAGGGTGACGGCTAGGTAAACAGGGCAGTGGCCTCACTGATGAGGGCCCAGTCCCACAATACACAAACAAAGAAGGCAGAGCAGGTCTGGGTATGGTAATCAGCATCAGAAGCAGTCCAGCGATCCTCAGGGGTGTCTCTAGTTGGGTTAGTGCATGGGCCAGGATCATATGGATCTGTGGGGTACATGGCTGGGCATGGGCATGGCAGCAGCTCGGCTCGGGTGAGGAACAGGGGCAGGAACCTCAGTTGAAATGCAGCTCCCAAGAGAAAGTGAGGGAAACCCTGGCTGGGAGTTCTTTCAGCTCTTTCTTCAGAGCAGTCTAAATCAATTTGAATCAACTACACCTTGTCAGGGAGCTGGCCTTGAGTGCGGGCAGCTACAGTCGTGGCAGTGGGGAGTGTGCTCTGGGCTCTGGCACTCCCCTGCATGATCTTAGAAGCTCTGCGCTTCCCTCACCTCAATTCTCCCAGTTACGCACAAACGCACCCAGTGCTTCTTGCCCTTTTTTATCTCTCTGTGGTGCCCAATTCTTGCTGCTGAGGGCAGCTCAGCACTCAAGAGCCCATAGACATAGTGTCCTGCCACTGCCAAGCTGCCTCTCCTGGCAGCACGTGCGACTCCAGAGCTCAGTGCCTCCCTGACACCATGTAAACCTATTCATAGCACTGTCCCTCTTAATGCACCCAAGGACATTTGCCTACAAGAGCTTAGTGACAGGCCAGCAGAAAGTGTTTTGCCACAATTAGTCACAAAGGTGGCTTCTTTCCATGGTCATCTCGCTCCTCACGACTGCGCAGATCATTCAGAAGAACTGCAGACCAGGCTTGAAACTCTGAGGTCAGCTTGGGCACACACAGGGAAGGTTTAAATCTCGAAGCGATTGCTGGCTGCTTGTTCAGACTTTCTCCCAGCTCATCCACTGTAGACTGTGCTGGGTTGGCTGGGTCACTGGAAAATCCCAGAAGGCCTCAGGATGATAAAAGGGCACGTCCTGAGATCCAGCTGCTGGGGAAGGGCAAATGTCCAGTCATAATTTCTCTGCCCAGACTTGTTTGTTGACAGTGTCACCAGGAGAGACCCATAACCAGAAGGTATGTGGGTTGTGACAGCTGAGATGTGGCAGCTCCTGTGGCAAGAGCAAGGGTTCCTCCGTGTGGTCACCGCATGCAGTACACACCGGTGTCATGTTCGCCCATGACACGGATTTTTCTTTGCAGGCCAATCTGGCTTTTGCTCCAGCTGCTCTGCTGCCGGGAGCATCTCCCAAAAGCCCTGGTGTGAAAGGCCTGGTTTCTCCATTCAGCACCCCTCCCTCAACGCCCAGCAGCCCAGGGATTCAGTCCCAGCCCAGCGAAGCGAGTGAGACGCCGGTCAGCTTTGATCAGCCCCCGGAAGGCACTCAGCTGCAATTTTATAATAAGGTAGGGTATGTGCTAGGATTTCTCCATCACAGCAGGGTAAGGCTTGCTTATCCCTTGGCGATGAAAAGGAAGAGAAGGCCGTAGCCCTCGATCCTGCCATATCGGTGTGCATTTGTGGCCAAGGGAGGAGACCTATGTGCCAGGTTTGAAACAGACTTCCAGTGTAACTCTGTTGGAGTCTCCTCTCTGCCCACCTGCACATGGAGCTGCATGGTCCATCAGCTCCAGCAGCCTTCCTGGCCAAATGGGTGATGGGAATGGGTGAAGTGGCAGGACCCAGTCACTTCAGCTCAGTAGTAAGAGGGTGGTTGGTTGGTACCTGGGCAGGGAGCACCGTGAGGAGGTGGTGTCACATGCCAGCAACTGTCAAAGGTGGCTGTGGCGCAGTTTAGGGAGCCACACAGAGCACAATGGTTTGCCAGGTGTCTTGACAGAGTGCTCAGAAGTTAAATGGGAAGCTGTGACCTGCATTCACCATCGACTGGAGTGCAGACACTTTCCTCAACCACCAAACTGCCAAGAGTAGAAAAGGCTGAGATATCCAAAGTCAGCAGCATCTGTGTAATGAGTGCAGCATCCTTGAGCTTGGGGTTTAACTTGGACAAGGAGCCACAGTTTAAATTGTGACAATGATCTCTGGCACCATCTCTACAGAAGAAAATGAGACATATATTAGGAAGTTGCTTGTCCTATACAGTAGTCTCTCAGCAGCAGTGTGCCCTCATCTCCCTACATCTCAGTAGCAGAGCAGGAAAAGTGAGGGCACCAAGGTAGCAGTCATGTTTCCCATGGTATTTTCCTCTGTTGTGCTTTCCTGCTTTCCAGTACCGCTCTCTTGACTGCTTCAATGTCTGCTTTTCCTGCCTCCAAGGTGCGGACGCGGGGATCGATAAAGCGCAGGCCTCCCTCCAGGAGGTTCCGAAGATCTCTGTCCGAGTATGGAGATGGGGAAGATTTAGGGGTCAATGTCTCCTCTCCAGAAAATGGTGCCAAGGAAGATGGGGATGAGGTGTTTGGGCCCAAGGGTAAGACAGATGAAGCAGAAACAGGGAGCAAAGAGCAAAAGAAACAGACAGAATCTGATGAGAAGCCCCCATCAAGGAGAGGATCCAGCAGATCAGAAGATGAAGAAAAAGGGGAAAAACAGGCAGAGGAAATGACTCCTTGCAAGAGTAACACAGAGGATACAAAGGAGGAGGAGGAAGTGTGTTGTGGTGCCCCAGGGGAGAGCTCTCCCCAGCTTCCCTCTGGAAACAAGGAGGAGAAGGTGTGTGAGGGTCCCCAGGGAGAAGAGCAGCAAGGCAGTGCCTGTGAAAAGGGGGACGAGGAAAAGGGGGACAAGGAGAAGGAAGAAGCTGAAGCTGGAGCTGAAGCAAAGGAGAACAGTGAGAGCTCAGATGTACGGAAAACATCAGACGCTGAAGAAACACGACTGGCACCTGAACCGCTGCAGGACGCAGTGGGCTTAGACACTGCCAGTGAGCCTTCAACATCAGCCACGCAGGACCAGGGCACAGAGTAACCGTGACACACAGGTAAGACAGGTCAGCATGATGATGGCTCCTAAAATACCAGAGGGTTTTGCTTATTAATGAAAATGGCAACTGATGGAACACACCAACATTTTTGCTGTTCTCCACACCTCAGAAGTATCAAATCTCAGGCCTACAGAGACTGCAAGGCAGGGTGTTTAAAACAACCAGCCCTCCTGGGTGGTGTTACAGAGAGAGAGGATGGAGAAGAAGCAAAGCCTATTCTGGGTTCAATAAAATGGAGGGGCTCTGCTCACCAAGCACCCTGCCAAGCTGCTGTTTTGAAAGCAATTTGAAAGTACGTACAGTAAAAAGCACTTTTCCCCAGCAATAACCATTTATATACTATCTCAGTATGCCTCCTTACATACACGTGTTTATATGTATAGGTGTGCACACACTGTGTGTGTATATATATATATATATATATATATATATGCATACATATATATATATATCTCCATGTGTTTAGCTTGTTAGCTTTGCCTGCAAAAATAGTCTTTGCACACACGCCAGTTTCATGATCAGCCCTGGAAGCATGCAAACATAGGCCTCTGCCACTTGAAATAACAGAGGATTTCCACTGGCTAAAGTGGGGCTTGTTCCATGTAGCTTCTTACGTACTCTCTAAGCACTGATAGCGTAGCCACAGATGCCTGAGGAAATAGCGCATTCCACCTCAACCACCTATCCCGTCGTCAAATGCCTCCTTGGTTTGGCAAGGAACAACTGAAGGAAACAGGCTGGTGCTCAGGCTGCAGCTTGCCTTTGCATCCTAGCACAGAAACTTCCTAAGTACCCTCAGGTCATAGACTCCCCAGCACTGTATTTAGTTAGACCCATGATTATTTTTCATAATTTCCTTTTCCCCTCTGAAAAGGACATACCCAATCAGGGCACAGGAGACTTAACATGTGAATAGGAGCCATCTAACCCAATCAAGGTGGAAGCTACTGGAAAACCTTCAGTGGCAGGATACAAGCGAATACGGATATTTCCCAAGGTCCAGACTCATCCCAGAGCTGAGTGGCTGCTCTCTGCTTCACACCATTGTACTTTGGGACAGGCTTGCAATCGCTTTGGACTTCAAATCTGAGGTGTTGGCTGACATTCCTCAGTGATATTCGGGGACTGAGAGACCTGATACATGTTGTCCTGGAGCTGAAAGCCACCACCGCTCCTGTTACCTCTGCTCCTTCATCCTGCTCCAAAATGTCTTTTTCTTCTCCCCTGCATTGGTCTTAGATGAATTTTGTCAATTACATACATACACATATGGTGCCTTTTTGGTAGCTTCTTTTGAAATATTTTGGGGTGTCAAATTTCAGTAAATAATGTTTTAACAGTAGGATAAAGTATGTTTTCTCCATATATGCTGTATGGGAGACAATGTGAACCCTGAACACAGGGAAAACTCTTAGGACATTGTTCATAAAGCATAAAATCTCTTTGAAGTGGGGGTCAAGCTGGCTGATCTGTGAAACAGCCCGTCATGGTAGGTAATTTTTCTGTGTGCTTCAACTCTGGGACGATTTAGTGCTGGTGGAAAGTAACAACCAACAGATTTGATGCACAGAAAAGATGTACTGCGTTGGTCAACAGGGCAAGTTTTCTTATCCAGTTGTAGGCTCCTGTCCAGATTTAGAAGGGCTGCCTGTCTGTCCGTCTTTCTCACTTCCAGACCCTATCCAATCATTTGATTCTCATTTGAAACTTTAAGTGTGTGTCCACCGAGTACCACCTGTGATAGAAAGCATCCTGGCTTACTGGAAACACCTGGTTAATTTTATGTAGGTCAAAGAAGAGGTCTTAGATGGCTGAGTTTCCAGTTGTGTGGCCTGACTGAATATTAATTGGTGAAGGTCATCTGGTCAGTCCCTCCTAAATACTTGCTCATTGTACTACATTTGCATTGACTCTTGGGGCACGTTAAGTCATGGGTCTTGGACTTGCTAAGGCAAAAAAGCTTTTACATCTGGAGAGTATTTGTTGCCCATATGAAATAAGTTATTTGGGGAAAGATAGATAACAGTCCGTCACCTAACTAGTTTCCTGACAGTTGTGCTTGAAGCTGTATCTGCAATACTGAATAAAAATCTGCTCTGGCTGAAAGCCATGGGGCTCATGTCCACATAGTTCCATGTATGGAACTATGGACAAATCTGGACTTGCTGGAGACAGCGAGCCAAAGTTGTCAAAAGCTGAGCCAAGGAGCCAGCTAGCTGTTAGTTGGTGTGATTGGTCAGAGGCCAGCACCTGAGTCTGCCACCAGCCACCTAGTGCCCAGCAAAACACACACAGCTACAGAGACCAAGGGCAGAACCAGCCAGCTCCTCATCCATCAGAAAGTTCCTCCTAGCAAATGTCAAGGTGAGCAGAGTTGCAGGCTTGGGTTGTCCCTGTCTCTCAGAACAGGCACAAGCATTTTACACCACACAGCCCACATCTGTCCTTGAATGGGCTCTGCAAAACAGCAGTGTTACAAACCCAGTGGCTTTGAAGAATATCCCCTTCCTGTTCACCAGCTCTAAAATCGCGAGGAAAGAAGTGGCTCTGTGTCCTGCCTTTCTTTTTCCCAGGTGAGAGCACTGAGATGTCATTTACTGAGAGCCAGCAGTGTTGACCCTCCAAGCACGCACGGGCTTGTTGGTAAACACGACCCCCATGTCCTTTTGAGCCATGTTGTGGAGCATTGTTGCCTTTGAATCCATTTTAATCTGTTTGTTAGAGCTTGTATTCCAGGGCAGGCTGCAATCACTTGCTGTACCCTGTTTCTTCTCCCAGCAGTATCCCATCTGGATGTGAGTGATTGTGCCTTGTGTATATAGATATATGTGTGCCTGTTTAGAGAATGAGTATGTGTGTCCCAAGCAAGGGAATGGAAATCCGAGGGAGAAACAGAAGAAATAAATGGTGGAATAAAACCAAACTAAAACAAAATCTGTGTGTTTCCTCCTGGGGGAGATGAAGGAGCCTGAAGAAGGATGGAGAGAGCTGGCAGCAGCAGACAAAAATAGGGGTGGGATTTCCACTGCCATTGAAGCAGTTTAACATTCAATTTTAATTTAACTTGTGGTATTTTTTTACTTTTGGGGAACAGCAATAACCAATGTGCTTAATCCACAAAGGAAGGTGTTCTCTGGGGCAAGCAGCGACATCAGAGACTGCCTCACTCCCTTCCCCAGCCCTGCAGGTATCATGTATCTAGGAACAGAAGAAAGCAAAGCTATTTAGCCCACTGCCATTTCTGCAACAGCATCCTTGTTCAGGGGAAGCATAAAAAACCAAGGTGACACACAATGATCCTTCCTGTGAGATTTCCCAGCTCCTGACAGTCAACAGTTTAGAGACTTTCTATGCCAGAAGTTGCATCACCATCTTTGTCCTTGATGGCTTTACCAAGTTGCAGGAAAAAGGATGCCTGTCTCTCAGCTGAAGGCATCTACACATCCATCCCTGTCGGGGCAATGCTTGCTCAGGCAGCACACAAACATTGCCGTGTCTGCAGGCCAAGAGAGCAATTTTTGAAAAGACTCTAGCCAGTATTAGCATTGTGGCACTACATGTGGACATGTATCCCTGCCCCACCCCTGCTATCAGGCAACATTGGCTTGGGCAGCGTGGTCATGTATCGACAAGGTGTGTAGAGTCAAAATTTTAGACTGAAATGTAGGCCACAGCTTGGCTTGGTGTATAGGGTGTACAGACCCATATGCACCTGCCAGATAGCTGAGGCTGGAGCATGAGGCTGAGTGTCAGGTGTAAGAACACTGATGGTCGAATAGGCAAATGCCCTCAGCAAGAAAAATCTGATGTAATTTATGCAGTTCCGCTGATGTGGATGGTGCCGGAAAGATACAAAAAAAGTAAAAGCACAAACCTTACAGGCCAGAAGACCTTTCAACTTGGGAGGGAACGATGAAAAACAGAGCAAGAATAAAGTGGAAAAAGAAATGCAGTGCAAGAGCAAGGAGACTGTTGCAGTTGCGTTTGGCTGGGATCATGTTTTTATGGTTATTCTTTGACTGGACAGTGTTTGAACTGTAGTGTGAGCCGCAAGGAAGTGTTGGATGGATAAGGACTGGAAGTGATTACTGATCGGAGAAAGAGGGTTTTCTAGAGATCTGGGATGCAAGGGAGGCTGGTACAGAGGTGTGGAAACATGAGGCGGAAACTTGTGGATGACAAGCGGCATTAGCAGGATCTGCCCCATCAGGGACAAAGCAGCAGGGTGGAGCGGATTCAGTGGGAACGCCGCTGGCTCCCCTGGGTCCCCACACATGGGAAACACAGTCCCAGCGCCGCGGCGCGCTTCCCAGACGCCCAAGCTCTTTGCTTCAGCCATTTCCCTTGCCCGGGGAGGCCCAAGAGCCAGTGCCGGGGACGCCTGCTGGAAGGGAACCCCCAGCTGCTTCGCACAGGCCCTCGCTTCCCCCGCGCGGGGGGCTGCCGTGAGAGGATTCCTACACTCGCGCCTATGCAGTTGCGTGTGTGTGTCCCCTCACCGCAGCCCTGCGGGCGGAGGCTGCGGGGGGGCCGAACCTCAGCCTGTCAGACCGCCCGCCCTCACAGCCCGCGGGGCCGCATGGCGGGGCAAATCGCGGGCCGGGATAAACCGAAGCAGTTCGAGGGGGGGTGTGTGGGGTGTGGGGGTGTCCCTTACC